CCTCACAGGGCCTCATTGATGGGAAGCTGAAATTGAGAATTCAAGCCAGCAAGAGAATCCAAGCACTCCAATGTGAGAAGCAGACATCTGAATGGGCATTTCATCAGTGGACCAAACACCTGCCCTGGCTCATGCTTCCTCTTTGTCTATTCAGCATTGCATAAAAACTAGTACTTCAGGTGCAGAAAAAGCACAAAGGCAAAAACTGCAAGCTATGTGAACCGGTCAATTCCAGAAGAAAATCCAGCTTAAGAAACAAAAGAAAAGGGAATTGACCAGACCTTGTGCACAGAAATGCTCTCAGAAGAGAGAGCGAATCCATTGACTAGGAGGGCCTGCTGGTCAGATGCCTGCTGCAACTCTTTTGTTAAATCCTACTGTAAATGGTTGGTCATAAGCCCCTCTAATCAGAACCTTCCCTTGGCAGCCTTCCTCGTGTCAGTTTTTCCATCTAACAGAAAAATTTGCCCCAGGAAAAAGAGAAGACAGCCACATAGACAGGCAACTTTCAGGGGACACTGATTCGGTGACACAAGCTAGACACAAAGATGTGCCCTTTCTGACTCAAGTCTTAATCTCAGCAGGATTGTGAGCTTGTCCCTTCTTGTCTGGGTGCATGCAATGTAGTCATGATGGGCCATAGGATACTCAAGGTGAAACAAAGACAGAAGCAGAGAGAGATGAAGATGCCCTTAACTCTGAATGAAGAGGAAGAGTCCAGAAGCCAGAAATTGCAGGGAAAGCAACTTACGTAATGGAACAGGACAGGAAGCAAGCCTAAAGGCACAGTGATCCTGCACCAAAAGAAACTTCTTCTGGGACCACAGGATTCACACCAAGTGAACTCATCCTAGATTGCACTTGACACAGCCAAACTGCCTCACGTTGCAGCACCAAACCACTCAACTTGTGTGTTGCTTCCATCCCATGAGCTTGCAGTTGGCAGGGAACAACAACTTACAGCCACCACTCAACACCGTAACCAAGCTTTGCACCACACATTACCACCCAAGGGAGTGATAAATTTCAAGTGTGTAGGACCATCCGGCAGTGGTAAAGTCCAAAAATCTTTAATAATAGTAACTGGGGATTATTCATACCGGGGTTGTGTCCCAGGGAAGCCCATCTCAAACTTCTGTTCTTCCAAATCAAAGAATAATTATTGTCACTAAAGCCACTAAGGTTGTGATCATTTTTCTCTGGCTCCCAAAAGGCCAGAGAAGCAACACGAAGGATAGACAGGCAGGCAGTGATCAGGGAGTGCATGCACAATCAGAGAGGCAGACAAGTAGAAGCCCAAGCAGTTTGGAAGCCTGGAGGAAGGTGGGAAAAGGAGAGACACACAGAAGGACAGGCAGGTGGAAGAGGGCCAGGTGGGCAGACAGAAAGCAGGATATGGCAGGTGATTCAAAGGTGGGATGCCAGGTAGGTGATCTCAGAGCCTGTTCTTGTCCCTGCCAGGTTCACTGGAGCTTCTTGAGACGCAGATGAATCCCATTCTTCGACTTCAGCACAAGCCGAGGAATGGGGATGGGAACTCTAGTGGGATCTGGGAGCAGCTCGAAGCGCAGTAGAGTCAGGGCCACGGCCACCTTTAGCTCATTCATGGCAAATTGTTTCCCAATGCAGTTCCTAGATCAGGAAGGGGCAGTGAAATGAGAAGAGACTTCAGATCCTCTGCTGAACTGGGCAGGCATTGTTCTCTGAGCCTCAGTCCCAGAACCGGACATACGATTCCCTGCTTCGTGTGGCCCAACCCTAATGCCTGACCTCTACCTGCCACCTCCTCAAGGCCCAGGCCAATGAACCACCACCTATCAACCCTCTGCCAGCCATCCCTCTCCTTCCAGTCTCCCAAGGGATCCATCATTCTCTAGGAATGTCTAGTACAATGTCAGGAACATAAGGCATTCCGGAGTCTATCGAGCAGGTGAATGAATGAGTGAAAGAATGAAGATATGATGTCTGTGTAAGTATAGGCAGTCTTCGCCAGTGCCTTCTTCAACACACTCTATTGGACACATTCAAGAACACATTCTGCTCCTATCTCTGAAGCCCTGGGTTCAGGAACAGTACCTTTCACTTACCTGTTCCCAAGTCACAGAACTGAACACCAAGAAAGGAAATCAGCAGTTATACTGTACTGGAACTAAGTTAAATTTTACAATAGATACAAAAGAATCGAATGCACTAATGGGAAATATGAGTTCTGAACTGGAATTAGCTACTTGTTCCCACCAGCCCTCTGATAGCACCAACAGATTTTGCACATCAGAAGTGAGTAGAAGTCATCCATCCTGCGGTAAACAACAGAAAGCAAGTTCCTCAAACAATGACTAGCTAAAAACCTGTTCTGTGAAAATCAATGGAGCCTTCCGAGAACTCACAGAATCGCTGGTTCAGAAAAACCTGGTTTCTACTAATCATTTACGATGCTGGTGTTTTGGTTTCCCAGGACCTCTCCTGCTGTTGTCACAATCTCCATGGCAGCTGTTTAGAATTACAGCTGTCCAGCTCACCAGCTGTTTTGCATGGGCTTTGCATTTTGCACAGCAGGAATCTTGTCCACTCTGTGCATGTTATGCTAAGCAGCAGACTTTCTCTCACAGGTAGTGTGCTGTCCTCCTTTCCACATGTTCGTCCTTGTTGTGATTATGGTAAGTCATGCCCCCTCTACTGATTTGGAACATTAACATAAGGTGAAATTTTTGTCAAGAAAGACTGCAAAATGTCTGAGATATTGGCATAAAGCTTCCCATGGGAGCTCCTGCATCCTTTCAGGACAGTTTGGCTTAGAGAATGAGACCCTAACACATGTGCCAGTTCTCACCGTTCAACAACAAGTTGTTAGTGAATCAGGTAGAAAATGCCATGTACTATAACAATATGTGTGGGAAAAGAAAAAGAAAAACTTCATTACAATCCAGAAAGCTGAATATCTGAAGTTCAATTTGCAGAGGAAAACCTAACTCCCTTATGGAAAAAAAAAGACCTGACTACACTAAAATTTCTTATGCATGCCCTGAATTTGAACTGTAGCTAGCCACTGGAAGGGGCAGTGGACCAACCCACCGAGCTTTGGTAATGAAATGTCACCTTTCTTTGGCACACAGAGACACCCACACAAGGCTGCCTTCCCATCAAGGACATTACTCAAGAAACCACACAGGAACACAGAATCACAACACCATGTGTGGGACCACAGACCCTCCTTCCCCCCCACCTCAGTAGTACACACAGCTCACTCACCTTGATCCTCCTGAGAAGGGCAGGAAAGCATGGCTGTGGCGATCAGAATCTGGAGCAAACCGGGAGGGGTCAAACACCTGCAGAGACAGCGCCAGAACCAAGACAAGGGTCAAGGAAAATCCACACCACGATTAGAGGGAACGAGGAAGTGCTTATCCTGAGAGAAGCTCCCATGCCCTCCTTGCGGACCCTCATACCTCTGGATTTTGCCACACATTTGGATTGTGGTGAAGGCCGTAAATGGACAGCATGAGTATAATACCTGCGGGGCAGGTAGGAGACACAGAAAAGATTAATCAGACCCATGGAATAAGGCACTTAAACCACCAAGAAGTATTTGGGCTCAAAAGGTCTAGATCATCAAATTCTTCATTGAGCAGGATGGGCTTTGGAAAGTCCAAGCACAGAGCTAAGGAGCAGAAGAACACAAATGCAGCAATGGAAACAAGAAGGAATCAGGGGCCTGGTGTGCAGACCAGCCAGGTGACAATGCACTTCCCCCCAAGCCTTCCTTGAGCAGCTGGGGAACATCTGTGGCTCACTCCACCTCACAGCAAGCTTCCCCTCCCCATCCTTCTGACAAGGCACCTAAGGCTCAGAGGGGCTGAGTGACTTGTGAACGACCTCACAGGCCAGAGGTCAGAGCAGGACTCAGTCATGGGTGGAAGCACCAAAGTGTCTCGCTACTACTTCAGGGTCTCAAATCACCTCACCAATTGTTGTCTGCTACTGACTTGAGGCTCCTCCACAATGAACTCCATTGTCCTCACAACTCAGATTTCCTTAATATCCCTCATTTATCTTAACCCAAGGAAAAAGCATATCTCCTCTCACACTGCTTGATTTTCTATGTAGCCCTAATATTGTGGAATCTGATTTTAGGGTTAATGTCCCTAGGATAAAATCAGAAACTAACATTTACAAGGGCATTTCCAACAATTCATGGAAAATCAAGTTAGAAGTTTACTTTGGTGCAAAAACAATTAAATCAATGCATAATTTTTCCTCATGTATATTTCCATGAACCTTTTGAAACTTCTCATATTTCATTGAACTTTGTGATTAAAGACTCAGACACATTAAACAAACTACAAAGTAAGCACTCAATTACTGAGAAGGAAACCAGATGTTGAAGGTTCAGAACCAGAGATCTCAGATCCCATGTGTCCACATGGAGCTCGCAGGTGAGTGAGGGTGGGAAATACATACCTTTGGGTAAGGAGCGTCCATCAGGGAAGGTGACTGGCTTGCTGAGCTTTTTGGTAATACTTGGCACTGGTGGATAGATCCTCAGTGCCTCCTTGATGCACATAGTGGTATAGGGCATCTTGTCCAGGTGGTCCCTAAAACAATGCCAATGCAGGGAAGGGACAGGGCTGGGCACACCAGGGCACCCCTCTCACACAGGCAGGATCCTCCCACCTCTTAGGCCTTCACTCACCAACTGATAGAGGCTCCATCCCCCAGGATGCTCTGGATCTCCTCGCGGCACCTCTGCTGATGCTCTGGGTGTGCGGCCAGAGCATAGAGGATCCAGGAGATGCCACTGGCTGTGGTGTCATGGCCCTCAAACATGAATGTGTCCACCTCGGCGCGCAGGTCCTCATCAGACAGGCTGCTCCCGTCCTCCATCTTGGGAGATCACAGGGAGAGGGCAGGCTCAGTCCCTGCTCCCATGCCTCTAGACCAGATTTGGGCTGCGCTGCCACACTGACCTTGGCAAAGAGCAGGATGTCCAGGAAATCCAAGCGCCTCTTGCTCCTGACCTTCTCCAGCTCTCCTTCTTGCTGCAGATGAGCCTTCCTCAGCTTGATCACTTGGTCTGTTCCAGAATAGCAGATACCAGGTAGAGCTGAGAGCTCCAGATAACTACAGGAACTCCACTGCTCACAAACTGGGTGACCTCAGAGGTTCAAGAGGGTGTGTGGATGAGTGGTGGGATCCAGGATTCCCACAGTAGCACAGTCCAGGGGCCTCAGCTGAATGCTGCAGGGATGGGGTCTTGCTCACCAGTGTGATGATGCAGGGAGCCCCTGCTAGCACCTGAAACCCCATCATCTCAGCTCCCAATCCCTGCCTCCAGGAGGTAACAGAACAAGAGGAGCCAAGGTCAGTTCCTCTGTGCTATGACTGTGAGAGAGGGCACATAGGAAGAGGAGACCAAACCTGTGTGCTTCTTGGCAAGCTGGCAGGAATGGAAGAACAAGCGGCCTTTGGAGCTTAACCTATAGAAGACCTCGTTATGGTGAAAAATATTCCTCACTCGGTAAATCACCAAGTTGTTCACATCCGTAATGGCCTGAATGTAGGACTGGGAGTTCCTGAAGGAGAGAACATAGAAGAGATCAGAATGAAGGAGTCTCCTATCTCGAACCCAAGTGGTGTTCTACGAAGAGATCAATAACTCAGTGGAAATAAACAGTTATGAGACATGTGTCATGCAGCCCTGGTGACCCTCAGGCTTCTGCACGATGGTGTGAGGCCAGGTTTCCAACTGTGCTGGGCATCAGGGATTCGTGGCTGAGGCAGGGTTAGGTTTGGTCTACACTTAGAACTTGGCATAGTCTTGTCTTGTGTGGCGCAGAGCATGTGAGCTGCCCCACATGGCTATGGTGAGCCCACGTCAATTGAAAATGCCCAGGACCCTCAGTGGAAGGGCTGTCACAGACCTGTCCAGCTGGACACTGCTTTGGTGGTTGAAGGCACACTTCATGATGGTGTCCAGGGTCATCAAGGAGATGTGATCAAAGATCTCCAGGGAAGAATCCTCACTAACGTGCTCCCATCTGTCCTGTGGGAACACAGATGGGATATTGTTCTTGATTTCCATGATAGCCTGGTGCTAAATAACCAGCACCACTACATCTCCAGATTCCTTGTTCAGAGCTTCTCCCTTTAGAGAACAGACACCTTTCAGCAAATTAAGACTGTGAAGCCAATGTGGGCAAGATGAGGCTGATTTCTTGTTCATGCGTATTATATAAGTGTCCTTTTCTCAATGCAGAGATTGGTGGATGAGAAGGTCTCATGGAAATCCTTCTATTTTTGAAAAATGAACAAAGCATGAGAAATTGTAGAAGCTCAAGCTAGAAAACAAATGTGTCATGACTAAAGGAAGCCATGAGATATGTTGGGACACTCCCAATAGAGAGTTATCACAGATTTCTTTTTTTTTTTTTAAAGATTTATTTTTTATTATTTTTTCATTGGAAAGGCGGATATACAGAGAGGAGAGACAGAGAGGAAGATCTTCCGTCCGATGATTCACTCCCCAAGTGAGTGCAACGGGCCGGTACTATGCCGATCCGAAGCCAGGAGCCTCTTCCGGGTCTCCCACGCGGGTGCAGGTTCCCAAAGCTTTGGGCCGTCCTCGACTGCTTTCCCAGGCCACAGGCAGGGAGCTGGAAGGGAAGCGGGGCTGCCGGGATTAGAACCGGCGCCCATATGGGATCCCGGGCGTGCAAGGCGAGGACCTTTAACCACTTGCGCCACCGCGCCGGGCCCCAGATTTCTTTCCCTTGTCATTTTGGGGAGAAATGAGAACACTGATGGAAAACAAGGACCTAGCATGGATGGTTCCTAGATTGTTGACAGGGTGTCCGATTCTCTCCAAGGGCCACTCACACTTGTAGAAAAGTCCCAGACCCCAAGGCCAGAGCCTCACTAAGTGATACTCCAGAGTGTCTACCACCATGGATTGCTTATAGCCTTGTGTATCCCCCAACAGTGGCACAGCTGAGAGGTTGCAAAGCCGGCAGCAACTGGGTTTGCTGCGAGATTCTTTAGTCATTATGGGTGTGACTTTGGAAACTAGTTTTCACCACTGGCTGGTTGTAAAAGCCTAAGGGTGATCCAATTTAAAAATCTCCAGCTTTCTGTCCTGTCATGTGACCCTCCTGCATCCATCCTGGGTCCTTTGCCAGAGACAGCACTATAAAAGCCCTTTGGATTTCTAATGGCCAAACTATGACATAACTAAACCTCCCTTTGCTTCATTATGATTTTAAGTATTTTGTTGTAGCAATGCAAAGCTAACTAGTATGTTCACCTTGCCACTGAGACTGTGCCAGCAAGCAGGGGGCAGCCCGTGGTGTTGTCCAGAAGACTAATACCAAAGTTCATTGTCTTAATGAATTTCAAGTGGGGGAAGAAGGATCTGCAGCCAGCATAGATGCCTCTTCCTTAGACAATGAGCAGGGTGCAACCATGTAAAACCTGGAAATTCTGTCTCATCCATTTTGGGGAATCATACTACCACAGGTATGATGTGAGTATTGTTCCTGGTGATTGTGTCTGAGGGTTGTCTGTGGGACATGTGTTTGAGATGAAGTCTGTGCATGAGTACTCTGAGGGAGTGTGTGGAGGAGACAGAGGGAAAGATGGACTTACCAGCATCATCTGGACAGAGTCCACCATGAGCTTCACATAGGGCTTCAAGATGTCAGAGTGAAAGGCTGGGGTCAACATGCGCCGATGCTGGAACCACTTCTGCCCTTCCAACAAGAGCAAACCATACCCTGGGCCAGAGAAGGGTGTGAAGATGTTTAGTGGGAATAGAGGGAACTGGGCAGGATCGCACAGAGAACAGATGGGAGAATTCAGAAGCAGAGAACTCAGTTGGGGTTTTAAGAAAAACATAACTAGATACAGAATGCAATTCTAATTTGTACAAACATACCAATCCAAGGAGCCAGGAATTTATAGTTGCCAGGAGCCTTTGGATCTAAAAGGTAAATAAGGCTTTTATAAGAAGCTGAGGAAGAAAAGACAGTCACCCAAGGAGCAGTGATTCAGCACACAGGTTGCCATCAGGTGTTGACCGTTACTTTGCTAATGGTCCCATGTCATCTTTCATTACCTCCTCTTTTTTCTGCAAACCAACAGACATGGGACCCCAATATGTGAAGATAAGAGGGTGAATTGTGAAAAAAAAAAGAAAAACAAAAAACCACAGGCTATATCTTCCCTGCCCAAGAACAAGACAGAGCCTATCACTTTTGTACTGTGAGTAATGGCTTGGTCATCCCACACCCAGGATAGGAACAATGAAAAGATCCAAATCCAAGTTTGCTTCGATATCAAATTGGTCAATAATATCTAAGACAATTGGCAGAACAGATCACCTCAACTCCCTTAAAAACGCAAGAACCTAAATAATGAAAGTAGGAAGAGGATATTCATCTCCACACAATTGGTCTGACCTGGGTGGGTTATGGATTTGGTACTAGTTTCTGATAATAAGGCTCTATTGTCATTTTCTTCTGGAAGTTTATGGCTGTAAGGGGCACAAACTTAAAAGGGAAGGGCTGCTGTGTTTGAGATGAGGCTCACTCCCACCTGATCTTCCCATAATCACTTTCATGTAGTCAGGGTCATAGAGCATGACACGAATATTGTTCCCCTGTAGCCGCAGCACAAAAGCACTAGGGAATTCTTCTACCCATTGCCGAATCTTTTGTAGGTCCTGATCCTTCTGGAACTGTTAACAAAGAAGAGAACAAATCAGTGCAGACTAAATTTAATTCTAATTCTTGCTGCAGGAAGGCAGAATGGCCGCAGGGAGATAGTTCTGGATCTGTCAGTAGAAGTCGTGACTTTGGAATTGTTTCTGACGACCTGGGCTCTGGTGTAGGGTGGTCCAGACAAAATTTGACCTCAGATAAGATTTAGTCCAGAGCTTGGGAAGAACCATGAGTCTTTCTCAATACTGAAACTTCAGTCACACATTGTCTCCATGCTGCAAAAAACCATGAAAATGATCAGTATGGAAATTTCCCTGAATAACTTTGTGACAACTTACATAACTTGATGACATCTTGGTAAAATAATTTAGTCTACTGTCTGACTAAAATGGATTCTATCTAAATTTTAAAACATTTACACTAAATTTGTATTACTGTACTGACTGTTACAGTACCAGTGTTACTCCAGCACATTTGCAAGTCTTTGTTAAGATGAAACAGGCTGGGGGTTGCATAATTCTAAGTGAAAAAAATGTTTACACAGAAATTGTGCATTGACTGCTATTTGCCAAGTTAAAAGTTGAGATATTTAAAGCATAAGTTGTACATATATGTTTCAAAGCACAAATCACAGTCTGTGATTGTAAGGTTTGGGTTTCATATTCTCATTTTCAATTCTCGTTGAAAATAATTTTTGTGTGCTCCCACAGTCTTCTGAAACTCCTCTTTGTGGATCACAAAGCCTCTGTTTTGTGGCTTTCACTCCTCTCTTCCTTCTTGCTCCATGTTGACTTCACATGACCTCTGCAGTTCTGCTGTCAACCCTCCCACAGCAGGTCAGCTTATTCAGCCAGGCTTTTGCACACCTCCCCACAGCCAGGTCTGCCCACTCAGCCAGACCTTTGCACTCCACCCCACAGCCAGGCCTGCCCACTTGGACAGGTCTTTGTGCCCCTCCCCACAGCCAGGTTTGCCCACTCAGCCAGGCCTTTGTACATGCTCTTCTCTTAGCCTGGACTGTCCCTCCTCTCTGCCGCAAAGGCCTCTCCCCAGCTTTCAAGACACAGCTCATCTGGAATCCTTGAGATGTTCCATGTAATCAGCTCTTCTCAGCTGCTTCTGCAGATCTCAAAGCAACTGTCTGCTCATGTTTGTCTAGTCATTGCTTGCAACCTTCTCACAATCATCCAGCACATGTTTACCAAGGAATACCAAACACTGGCTCTCTGATTCAGGTAGTGGCATGGATATTTGTGAGTCCCTAACTGTCTGGAGCTCACAGTCTAGTTGTGTAGACAAGAAGATTGGGAGTCCACCTGTAAAAGACAGCTATTGGGACAGGAAGAAGCCCAAGCATGTAGGAAAGCTGTCGGGAGGAACCTGACTCAGAACCGGACATTAGAGAGCCCTCCCGCACGCATGTGCTCATTCATTGACTGAGTCTCCATGACTAAGAAGTCTTGGCTTACAGAGTTGAGTCAGGTGATCTCTCTCAGAAGGATCTCACAGCTAAGACACTGTAGAGGAATCCCTGAATCAAATGTTCCCTGCTGGGACTCATGAGAAAGATAGTCCATAGGAAAAAGAATTTCCCTCTCTATCTGGAAGATTGAGAACGCATTTTGGAGGACGTGGCTTGGGGTTGGACATTGGAAGGTTGGACATTGAGGAGCAAGGTTATTCCACGCCAGGAGCACAGGGTGAACAGAGAACTGAGGTTGGAAAGCACAGACAGATGAGGATAATAGTGAACAATGTAGTACAGAAGAGGAGAGTAGAAGAGAAAAGGATCAAGGGGGTATGGAAAGTGTGAAGGGCAGAGCATTTCCAGTTGCAGTGTGTGGCAACATTCTCCGGTAACAAGAGAAACAAGAGCTCCCAGTCTGAAAACTGCCAACTCCTAACATTTGCTCAATGTACTATCCCTGGATGAGCCCCTCTCCTTCAGGCTCCTTACTTGACTCTGCATCCGCACCCCTGGGTTAGCAATGCGGCAAGGACGCTATCCCTCTGCAGTCCTCACACTGCTTCTTTCCCTCTTTCCTGTCACTTCAGACACCTGTGCTGAACACTTCTGTGCTGAGCACAAGGATACGGGGAGGGAATGATGCACTCAGCTCCAAGGAGCTCACTTTCCAAGGTGTGCAGAAGAGTCGGGAGGGAAACAGACCCTGCTCAGGGTGCAACTCAAACATCAGTACTCCTCAGATGAAGGTCATGGGTATCTGTACCCGTAACCATTAGGGTTTCATCCATGAAGTCATCTGTCATGAAAATTCTGTCATTCTTATGCACACCATTCTGGTGAATTTCTATGAGTGACACCATCCACACATCTCAGCAAGGTAAGCTCTTCCTGTACCCTGATTCCTTCCGAGACTCCTGACTATCTTATCCACACACCATGACTCCACAGAGCAGGTTTTCTTCAGACTGATGTTTGTTCCCAGGAAACCCAAGGGCCTGGCACAGAGTGACTGGTGCAAGAACATCTCCAGAAGCTCACACTTTTAGGTCAGGCTGCAGGGGATGGCCATCCTGGAGAAGGGGAGACCCGGGAAGAGCAGTCATTGCCCTCCAGGTGCAGGGCTGCAGGACCAAGGGCATGAGGAAGGAATGTGTGACAGCACAGTCACAGCAGACAGACTTCCTATGGGTGAATGAGGTGAGCTATGAGTTCCTTGCTCGTCACAGAACAGGCTGTGCCCTGTGGACCAGCTCCTTAGACGCTGAGAGGCCCAGACACCCCTACCTGCTCACTCCCCTGTCCCAATCCTTCTTACCTCTCTCAGGTGCCCAAAGAGCCAGTGGGAGGGGGGACTTGAAAACTCCTGGAGGGCTCTCAGCAGCCACAGGCGATGCAGGAAGAACTGGACTATCTTGAACAGCAACAGAAGTAGGCCCAGCAAGGAGACAACCTGGAGGAGTCCAGAGAAGCTGCCCATGAGCCTGGTGGGGCTCAATGCAGAAACACTCATTGTGTAGTACCTGCTGGACCTGTGAGCACCTCTCTGTATCTCTCTCTCTCTCTCTCACCTCCTTGAGGAAATTTATGCAAGTCCTGGGAGGATTGCCCAACCCAGCTGTGGGAAAGGATAAGGGGGAGGACTTTCCCTGGCCACGCAATCCATGGTTAGTTAACTCTGATTGATCCACCTGGGGAAAGAACATCAAAGTTTCTTCAGCTGGTAGCGGCAATGAGTATGCACACATCCACTTTCCCCCTCTCCTTCTTACTCAGAAATACTTAAGAAGTACCTGCTATGTGTTGCACAGTGAGTGTGGGAGGGGACATAACTGCAAAGAAATCACACATGACCATTAATATCCAGTTCCCACTTGCTTACCGCATGTCCAGTAGACATGACTGATTATACCATTGTCTCAATTTTAGTAGAAAGGTACTGTTTGCAGAGGTAGAGATGTGTTAGGAAGAAGGCAGGTGTTGACACTGGAGGTTAGAGCCTATCGTTTTCTGAAGAGCTCATATTGGGAGAAAGTGAGACAAAAGCTTTATCAGCTTGGTCACCCACTTGCCCCCATCCAAATTACTCAAAAGTACTTAATGACCACCTACTATGCTATGCAATGTGTGAGGTAATGGGACTGGGCTGCAGTGAAAGCAGATATGAACACCAACTTCAGTTGATTGAACTATTATTCCAAAGTCATCGTTGAGAAATTCATTACAGCAATGTGTTCTGAGAGAGTTTGAGTTTGCATTCCAAATCTGTATGTGTCAGCTGCCTTTGGTGTATCCCTGCAGCTTGTCAAAGTTCACTCTCCAGGTTCCCCCCTTGATCGCTGTGTTGGAGCATGGAGACCTGAACTTTAACTCTGGAGATCCAGGCTGCTGATCATCCTTATTCCATAGCCAGTGACTTACCTCTCTGCACCTAAGTTTTCTCATTTACAAAAATCCGTTTCAAAATACCTCATGATTCTGAGTATTGGATCAGCCATTCATTTATTCAGCAAATATTTCTTGAGCTCAGGGTGCCTAAAAGCCAAACATAATAATTGATACAACAGAATAGGATAAGGCTGTACCGGAAGAATGAAATGTACATTCAGGTAGAACACTAATAGAAAAGGACAGAGTCTTTTTTTAAATATTTATTCATTTTTAATTGGAAAGTCAGATATACGGAGAGGAGGAGAGATTGAGGAGAAGATCTTCCATCTGATGATTCACTCCCCAAGTGGCCTCAAGCCAGAGCTGAGCCGATCTGAAACCAGCAGCCAGGAGCCAAGAGCTTCTTCCTAGTCTCCCACATTGGTGCAGGGTCCCAAGGCTTTGGGCCATCTTCGACTGCTTTCCCAGGTCACAAGCAGGGAGCTGGATGGGAAGCAGGGTCACTGGAATTAGAACCAGCACCATTATGGGATCCCAGCATGTGCAAGGCAAGGACCTTACCCACAAGGCTACCTTGCCAGGCCCAAGGGGCAGAGTCTTAATGAGTGAATGAGAGTTAGCAGATGGACTGTGTTAACTACAGGGTTGACACTGAGCCCATCAGGAAAAAGTCATACATTCCAAAACAAGCAAGCGGGACATGGTCTCCTCTCAATCCCTTGTCCTCATTGTATCTGCGACTGTCTCCTCCCAAGTCAAATCCATGCCACTAAGAAGTTACATCTGGCAAGTAAGTTCTCAGCAGTTTTGATTTGTGGATGTAATCAACACAAAACTCAAGATGGAGTAATATTTTGAGAATTCTAATTTCCATCCATTGCTCTTGCACTTAAGAAGGCTCAGTGCTTGAAGGGAGATCAAGCAAGACAGAAATTAGATTCTCCTTCTTTTGTTTTCTCAGTAGCTGCAATCCAGATGATGCTTTGTTAACTCTAAGTGAATTTTTTAGGCAAAGAGATTATAAAGCACCTTTTTTTCTTGTTTAATTGATAGAACAGTCACTTAGCTATCATACTATTTGAAACATTGAACTAAAGATGCCAATATAATACATTTCTTCTTCTAGACCAGTTATATCAAGAGGATGAGCATCTACTGTTAAAAACATGAGTTACAAAAAAAATCAGAACTGTTTCCCACACAAGTATGCATTGAATATAAGATATTTAAAACTTAAATTCAAAGAATGAATACTTCTGCAGATTTGCTGAGATTATTAATACAAATGCAATATACGTGCAAGTTTTCCAAAGTTCTTCATTCATTTAATTTTGACAAGTCCCATCTTTGCATTAAATAACAGAATGTGTTTCTCATTTAAGAAGCACAATGGAACAATCATGATTAATAGAGCTAGTGATGTTAAGAGGAGCCTAGGGAGTATTCAGCCACCAGGCTTGGGTGCAGGGAGTTCTCAGCAGCTTGATGGCTGCTGGGGTTATCTGAGCCAGGTCAGACTCAATGCTTGGGACTATGGCCATGGGCACCATCACAATGAGGTGAGCAAGTCCTGAGCTTTGGGTGACCAGGGCATCAAGTGGACCCCATCTCCACCTGCTGGCCACCTGGGGTGAGCTCTAGGGTTTTTGGTCTGTGTAATTCTTGCCTAGGGACATCCATACATAAGGCCAATGTGCATTTCGGTGAAGAATGAATCCTGTGTGACTCCCAGCGACGAGGTCACTGAACTTGCAGGCAAGCATGGGGACTGAGAGTTGGTGGTTTGGAAGGGAGAGTCCATAAGATCTGTTTGGGTCAGACTGACTCACCAGCCCATATGGGAGTCCTGAGAGGGGCTATTAACACAGAACTTTGCTGACTGCCACATGCCAGCCAAAAGCTATGGTGGGGAGGGGGCTTGTATGGAAGAGCTAGATCCCAGAACCTGACTGAGTGTCAGAACATGGGATGGGTCACATTAGGCAGGGTCATGACACTAACCATCACACAAGAGAACCAGGTCCCGGGGTGGACTTGTGGAGGAGAAGCAGGCCCGCTGGTTAGCTTTAGAGTTGGGGTGATGATGGACTGAGTTACAAATGACCATGGAACCTGCCAACACTCACAGGTTCTGGAGCTGGAAACAGATTGGGCAGGTTCAGGATGCAGCAACCATATGTGCATCCTAAAACAGGGTGTGAGGCAGGCCAGGCCACAACATCCTCCAGCTCATACAGAGTCCAACATGGAGGGGCAGGCTATGCCGGGCAAGGGCCTAGAACCTGCTGGAGCATGTGAGATCTTGGTCAGAGAGTGTGCCAAGTGGGGGAACCTGGGAACGTTGCCTAATGGGATCTCAGCTCTAGCTGGTGAGGACGTGTTCCAGGCCTGGGTGTTGTGCAGCCTTGAGAAGAGTAACTCCAAATGTTGGTGAATGTGTGGGTTGGCTTTGGAGGGGAGTAGACAGGGTAGGGCTGAGCCAACCTTACCTCACTGGCAAGAGCAGAAACAAGGCTGGAGTACAGGTCAAGCTCAGCTAAGCTGTCACATCTACCAGTTTGCATGAGCCTGGAATGGGAACAGATGGAGCAGGGCCAGGTTCAAGCACCTGGCCAGTGAGTGGTGGGACTAGGGCCAGGCCAGATTAGGACAGGCCACAGCATCTACAGTAAAAGCCAAGACAGGTGAGGGGCTAGGCTAAGCTGGGTCAAAGCAACCCAGGCTCACGTGCAAGATCTAAGGCTGGGAACAGATTTGGTTGGGGAGCTAAATGGACGCTAAATGGGGAGCTAAATGGTTGTGGTTCCCACCGGTAAGCACGGGGATGGAAAGGGAGCTGCGTTCTGGTCTGGAAATGGCTGCAGCATACCCTGGCACAAGTGTAAAGCAGGTCTGAGTGCATCAGACAGGGCTAGACCCCAGTACTGACAGATATCCTGCAGGATCAAGCTAAGTGTAGTTTGGGCTAGGCTAGGTTTTTGCCCCTGCTGATCCTGGTATGAGCTGTGTCTGCATGTAGACCAAGCTAGACTGGGCTGTAACTCCCAACAATAATAACCGGAATCGTCGGTCAGGAAAGGCCATGGTTCCTGCTTTGTCAGGAGGTAGATTAAGTAGGGCTCACCCGTGGACACATCCATGTGCATGAGATCTGGCATCAGGAGAGGTTTTTTTTAAATTACATTTCATTTTATGATACAGTTTCATAGGCTCTGGGATTCTACCAATCCCTCCCCACATCCTCCTGCCATGGTGGATTCCTCTACCTTATTGCAGTATTACAATTCAAATCCAGTCATGATTCTTTCACTGCAAGCCTGTACCATGCATAGAGTCCAGCATCTTATTGTCCAGATAAATTCAACAGTTTCTTGGGGAGACCATCTCTGGCCTAAAGGCAGAGCTGGCAGAATATCCTCCTGACCAATTAAAAGCCACGACATAACATCAACAGCAATTTACAACATTATGCAGTTAAATGACATGGTATTGAGTGACCAATATGTTAGAAAATGCAAGTTCGTAACCACATTCTGTGACTACTTCATTGACATTTCAATTTTAGTTTATACACTGCTGCTGGCTTCTATACACCTTAAAATGGCTATAGGGTACAATTCAGCTGTCTCATGTCTATTTTCTTTTTAATATCTAGCAGTTTATATTGTTGAAGCATAATTTTTACTGAACTTGGTGGATTTTAGCATAGTCCTAAACAGGCTTATAACTCTAACAAGACATATGACAATAGTTTTGCTGCTGAACAGTTTTAGGAGGGGTGTGCAGAAATATATTCAATACCCTAGTGAGCAGTAACTAGTCTTTGTGTCCTACCTAGTAAGGTATATGTGGATCCAGATTGACCATTTCCTGTCTGGTTCTAAGCTTTGCTTGTTGTTCTCTGTCTATCTAGTCTAATTTTGGGGGAGGGAGAGCTCCGGGGTGACCCTGATGGTCATTGCAAGAGAGGGTGGGGATCCAAAGTTGGAACTAAGTAAGGACCAGAGAAAGCTCCCTTTCAAAGTCCGAAAGGGAGTTTACTGTTCTTCTGTTTCTGAGGACTTCTCAGGGCTCCCAGCTATTGTTCCAATGACATTAGATCCTGTGAGGAAGGATCTGGGC